TATTTAACCTGTTCCTTTGTCTCTCCGACTGCTTTGAGCATGTACATGACACAAGAATTTCCCTCGGGATAAATAAAGTTGTTCTTATCTTATCTTATCTTATCTTCCTTGAGTTTCAGACAACCAAGTACACTTCTTTTTTTTAGAGTAGAACTCCAGCCGTGATCCTTGAAACTCCCCATCCAGCAAGTTTTAGTTGTTTCTCTTCTCCAACACACATGATTTTAATCAGCAGCTGATCTTAGGGGTCTTAGCACACCTCTGTTGTTGCTTGGCTTCCTGGGGCTGGAGGCTAGGAGGGAGATCTGGCCGTCTGGTTGGGGTCTGGGGTGGTGGGTTGCTGTGCTCAGCGTTGGGCGGGGGAGCCTGCTCATCAGCACCCCAGCAGAAAGGGTCAAACTCTGGTTACCGGTGATGGTTGTACCCAATGTGCAGCAGTACTGGGACCAGAGTGAATAGGGTGTGTATGGGGAGCATGAGTGGGTGTCCGGCGTGCATTTTTGTGAGTCTTTGGTTGTATGTGCATGTGTGAGCATGAGGGAGGGAGTGTGTGACTGTGTTTGTGCATGACTGTATATGTCAGGTGGGGCCTTTGACTCCTCCCCTCTCCTGGAACTTCTTTTGATGATATAGATCTTCGTCTCCCCTCCCCCAGCCACACCTGGTGTGGGGTGTAGTGCCTTGGTCTGCCTGAGTGTTCGTGGCTCCCGGGTCAGGGGGTTTAAGATTTTGGTGTCTGTCTGACCAATCCCGGTGGCTGCCTGGTGGGGTCTGGGTCCCTGGGCTCTGCTGGGTCCCCGGCGGGGTTGGTCGCCCCTGGGTCGCTGGGTCCCAGGCTCGGCCGGCTAGGGGGTGGGAGGCTGCGGGTAGGCCTGAGGGCTTGCCGCTGATGTCTCCCGGGACTCTGCCGGCTGCTGGTTGTGGCCCCCCGGGGCGATCCTCTGTGCCTCTCGAGGGGGCCGGGGGCCTTTCTGGTTGCAGTCTCCTTGGGGTTCCTGTGTTCTGGGGCAGCGCCTGGATCTCTGAGACTTGGAGCTCCCCCCGTCTCCTGCGCATCTTTGGGGGGCGGATCTGTGGTCCCTCACACTCTCTATTGGACGCTCCTATAGAGAAACCTTAAATAAACAAGTGTGTGTACACACACAGGTGCTCACATGGTGCTCTCATAAGTATGGGCTTGGGCACGTTCAACACAGGTCTTAAGACTATGGTGGGCACTTAATGCACTGTGATTTATCATCGTGATTCTTCAGTTAAACAATGTTGATTATATAGTTCCTCATCAAGTTGACACAGTGATAGTTTGCTCCTGTATTGTTGTTGTGTCCCATTTTTTTAAATTTTTTTTTTTTTGCTTTTTTTTCTTGTCTCTTTCTGCAGGTCTAGAAGCAGACTCTTGTTCTTTATTGTTTATTTTTGTGGAACCCCCCCCCCCCCCCCCCCACCACCACCACCACCACCCCTTCCCCCCTCCCTCCCCACCTTTTGTCTTTTCCTTTCTCTTTCACCTCTGTCTCCGTGTCTGGTCGGAATTACAAAGCATTCAAAAGCAATAATAAAGATTTAAGTATCAGGCGTGACATTAAAAGCAGACGCTTTGATGCTCCACCTGAGAGTAAATCTGTAAGGCTTGTTACCAGCATTCAGACATCAATCCTGTTTGCTTCACAGCCAGACAGGACACGGTAAAAAAAAAATAAAAAAAATCAGCAGCTGATCAACAGGCTTCTGCAGAGCTTCATGACATGCTGAACAGGCGATTCAACCATTGAAACAGGTGTGTCGGAGCAGGAAAGCATCTGAAACATGCTGGAAAGCGGGTCTAGAGGACCAAGAATAGTCCTATTTTATAGGATTTGTTTTCCATCTTTTTTTGTTTCTTTAAAGAGTAAGTTCACTGACAGTTTTTTGCTCGCCTTTTTTTTAAATACAATCGGTCACTTTGAGTTTCACATGCAGGCTGAAAGTGAAAATGGTCTTCTACCCCGGATGGAGGAAACACTTGGGACTGAAAAATCCACACAGATTTACGTCACACTGTAAACTTCAATTCGTGTTGGCTCCAGACGGAGAAGGCTGTAGTTTATTTAGCGTCCAGGAGAGAGCTGGCACGTCTTGGCTAAAAGAAGCTAACTGTTAGCATTAGCAACTTTGCAACATGCCAGAACTCCTTCAGGCTTGTGTTATTTATGGAGATAAAACATCAATGATGCAGAGCGAATGAAGGCAGTGGAAGAGTTGTGTTGCTGTTAGCCAATCAGATGTGAGATGACCAAATATCATGAATTAAGACTCAAAATCCTGCTATCTGCGGCCACTTTCTCCTCTAGTTGACTTCTACGTCCTCAAAAATGAGCATCTGAGCTTTTTCCCCAGATTATGACCTACAAGGCATTAGTTCTTAGAGACCACTGTAAATGGTTAATCATGCAGATAAAACATTAATGATGCAGAGTGAATGAAGGCAGCGGAAGAGTCGTGTTGCTGTTAGCCAATCCGAGGCAAACGGCTAGCGTAGGTAGACCAGCTTCCAACGGTTTGTTTAGATTTGTAGGCATGGACGTAATTTTCACTTTAGAAGTAGGGGGGAGGGGACACGGGGGTGGGGGGGGTGGGGTATCTTTATAGTATGCGCTAATGGGAAACAGGCTTCAACACAAACGGTTGTTTTCCTCTTGGCCCTAGAGCTCAACCAGTGTCAATTTAATATAGCGTAATGTTGTTTTTGGATGGTAAAAAGTGCAGGGGTCAAAACTTGACTTTGGAAAAAGTGGGGGGGACATGTCCCCCCTGTCCCCCCCAAAATTACGTCCATGTTTATAGGCAACATCTAAATATATGTGGAAGACCTTTTTTGAGCCCCTGATTGATCATCTTCTAAGGAAGAGTACAAATAAAAGTTTATGTTGAAACTGAATATTTTCACCAGACTTTTAAATGGACTGAAGGTAACCTGTGTGTTTGTGTTCTACAGGTGAACGAGGAGACTGTGGAGAGGCTGGTGGTCCAGTATCCTCACATTGTGTTCAGCACAGTGATGCAGGACTGCAAGAGAACCCTGGAGAGAGCTTATCAAATGGGCTGGAGCCCCAACACATCGAACTCTTCGTAGCTACTGCCAGCTCACACTCATGCGTACTTCCACCGAGACACACACACACACACACACACACACACACACACACACACACACACACACACACACACACACACACACACACACACACACACACACACACACACACACACACACACACACACACACACACACACACACCACATGTGCAGCTCGGTCATCATTGCTGGTCATTCAGACGTGCATGTGAACATGTAGCTACAAAAGTCCAGGACAATCTTTATTATTTGGGCATTTTGCCATCATTTCCTGTCAAGTTCTCTTTCGTCATCTTGGAGTAAAAAAAAATGGATGCAAGAGGAAAAGTTTCACTGAAAGAACATGTTGCATCAAATATAATTAGCCATAGTTAAACAGCAATGATGTTGAAAGGCGATAGAGTAAAGGCTTGTCTTTGCCCGGGTAAGTCCACGCCGACCGCGTCAGCCCGTCAGGATGCCGGGTCACCTGCTGCAGTCCGATCGCACAGGAAGGAGCAGAGTCATGAAGAGATTATCTGCATCGTCTTCGGTCCACAAATGAACTTGAACTTTCAGGGCTTCAGACCTCACTTGAGGCATTTTTTTTAGATTTCTGTTTTTATGGATCACTTTGTCCTATCTTCTCTTGGACTTCAGTGCAGTGTTAAAGGTGTTTGTGAACTTGGTGAGGATGTTGATGGCGTTTCATGTGAAGGACACAAATGTTTTGTCTCAACTCACTAGGCAGAGAGACGGCTGGTTTTAGGCTGGAAGGGAAATGGTTTGAGTCGATTTTAAAGGCGGATGTTTACAGTGAGAATCAGCTTTCGAGTGTTTAAAGATTCGCGTGACCCGACTCCATGCTGGTGTTTCACCGACGGAGCATCACTTGAAGTGACTTTTGGTATGAATTTAGTCTGTGCTTGAAATAGAAGCTGCATTTACCCCAAATCTTTGGGTCATATTATCAGATCATTAACCAGAAACGAGCTGAGAGTGGTTTAGACGAAGCATTAAGTGGCTAGTAGTTCCTGTCTGATTAGAAAGGAAATCTAATAAAGAAATGTTTATCAAATGTGAGCTTTTATGAAAGTATTTAGCCTTCTTTTGGTTTTGAGCATACACAATTTACTATTAGCTTGTGTTGTTTTGCAACAATCGTTGTATCCTCCTTAGGCCGTATCCTTAGTAACCACGTCGTTTTGAGAACACTTTCTGCACTCGCACACGATCCTCCTCACTTTGCATCCATTTTAATTCGTTATTTTTATTAATTTCTTTAAATAAACTGATCTTTCTGCTGGTGTTAAAGGCCTGTTACAGTTTCTGTGCTTGCTCACAGAAGAACAAGGTGGGCCTTCTTTGCAGAAATGATCTGAATGCACAAAAATGCAGCAGCTATATTGGGTTCTACTGGTAAAGGATGCAAATTAAAGCTAAGCTTGAACAGAGTTTGTGGATGAAGTAGATCATTTTTCTTCTGTTCTGCAGAAATCCAGTGTAAAAACGCAAACATCCAGGGTATTTTTCTATGGACTGAACCTCCACCCACTGATCAGAACAACACTTACCTGAGCCAGACATGGTGTAGATGTGTAAACTTTGATATCTCACACAGATTTCATATGAATAAAACACTCATTTGACCCTGTCAGGATTTGTAGACTTATTTTCCTGAAGGAGACGTTCTCCTTCTCCTTGCTTCTGATCTTTTGTAATCCCTGTAGACTCCTCCTTTTCTGCTAGATGTTGACAGATTTGATTTCTAATTTGCAAAAGGCAACCACGAACGACTGAATTTACATAATGATGAATAAAAACACTACAACTTAAAGAAGTTTCTACTCCGTCATTCATTGGTTTGTTTTTCTCCCTTTCAGAGTTTTAAGAAGTTTAACGTTTGTTTCGTTCTAACTTGTAGAGCATCATAAGAAGAATACAGAAATAAAGGCGTTTTCCATCAATGACATACATTTGTTACGCTTTTCTGCCGAGCGCTGTGACGTGAGGTCAACCCGAACGTCCATTAGAAGACACCCGGAGGGCAGGACTATTTACGATCGCAGGAGTTCCACATCTGAGAGACAAAGAGAGGAGACGTCAGCCGGGCTGCAAAGGCCTCAAAGAGCTAACAAGCCGTCACTCTGCGTGTCCCCCTGTCTTCGGCAGCGCTGTCCCTTTCAAGTGCCTTTTTCACCGTTCAGTGTATTTGGATTGTTTTATGTCTGGCGATCAAACATGGCTGATGGCATCAAACAGGTAACGAGGGGTCGGTTCCTCCCAGATTGATTCTTTATGTTGTCAACACAGTTTTTGTCAATTTGAGGCTGGGCTTGTTTGTGCTGAAGGGGAATTTTAAATCTTAATCAAAACTCTTGAGTTCTGGTGAAAAGAAAATCTTTAAGGCTTGTAATTAAAACCTGCTGGATGTGGCTGGGCTGCAGATGAGAAACCTGGGTTCATTTATTTTATTTATCAGAAAACAGAGATGGAAAAGACTCGTTTTCTTTTTTTTAACAACTCAACTGTCGTGGAAGCTCTAATTGAATTTTATGATGAATTTTGTTATTGATTAGAATCCCTTGGTGAGCATTTTAAAGGGACTTTTCGGACTTTTGAATTTTTATGCTCGCGATTGCCCCCTCAGGCCAAAAGCGTAACGACAGCTTCAATAGTAGGCTCCTGCATGAGGCGTGCATGCTGTACGTGCACACTCCTTAACAAAAATAACAGCTGAGATAGTCCTGTGTGTGTGTGTGTGTGTGTGTGTGTGTGTGTGGGTGTGGGTGTGGGTGTGGCCCGGAGGACAGAGTACAGGAGAACACACAGCTAATTAATTAAATAATTTGATTCTGTACCTTTCTCTTCAGCACAGCCGACAAAGGTTTATGATGGGTCAGTCCTCCTGCATGCTCAGATCATTCCCTTCCCTTGCTTGAAAAATTGTTCCAAAATGAAAGTTGAACCCACATCTTTTTTATCTGTGAATTCAATGCCGTTCGGCGAGTCTCAAATAACAATTTGGGCATCTTACTGTAAAAAAAATATACCATTAATGTAAAAAAGAAACTCTAAAATGTTTACACCCAGAATCGAGCCCAGGTCTTCTGCATGTAAATCAGACATCTTACAAAGTGAGCTACACACCAGTAACATTCAATGACAGCTGAAACAACGTCAAGCCAAAGAATGGTTCGAAGCGAAAATGGCTATTTTGTTGCTAATTTGCAGGAAATATCTAGAAGAAAGTTCTACAGAAAGTAGCTAAGGGTCCTCAGAAATGTAGCTAGCTTTGTCACTAGGCGTTAGGAACAGCGACAAAGTGGCACTGCCTCTCTCTCTGCTGCTAAAGCTACGGATAGCAAATGCTACGGGCTATGCCTGAGCGTGAACGCGCATGAAGCAGCCTGCTCGACCCGAGCATCTCTCTTTTTCTGTGATTTTACAGAAAAACAGGCAATCACAGTAAAAATGCCAGGGCTCATTCTACAGGACCAGGGCATTGCAGGAGAATGTATGAAGAAGACATTTATTATTTCTATACATGTTTTTGGCTGTCAAATTTCCATTATGCCCCTTTAAATCCCCCCCCCCCCCCCCCCCCCCGCTTTTAGAACTAAGAAAGACCTCTCAAACTATAAACAAATTTAAAAAAATGTAGACGGAAAATAATTTTTTTTAAATGCATTTGGATGTCAGCTTGTCTGAGCCTAACGTAGTGCAATCGTCTAAAGGCGTCATTCACACATTTTCCCAGTAGTCTCTAGTATGAATGAATGCCTTGTGATGGAAGAATTCATGTTTCCATACAGCATGTTGTCCATGTCCTAAAGCAGTGAAGCAGCTCCAGACCATCACATTACCACCACCGTGTTTGTCCTTTATGGTATGGTGGTCTGTTTATGGATGCAGTGTTTCGTTCTGCATCAGATGTAACTGGACATAGACCTTCCCAAACGTTCACGCTTGCTTCATCAGTATTGTTTCCCAAAAGTCTTTGGGATAAACAAGATCATTTTTGGCAAACGTGAGACAGGCTTTTGTGTTCATTTTGGTCAGCAGGGTTATTTTTTGTCCCTTCTCTTTCCAAATGTTGGATCATGACCTCTGACCTCAAGCTGAACCAAATGATATCTGTGGTGATTTTGAGGCTGTCATGAGTTCATTGTTGAACTTTTTCAGAACAGAGCATGATGTGTTCTTTTAGCCCTCGTCATGTTGTTGAGCAGCTCCCTTCAGGGGTCACCACCCTAACCCGAACCCTACAAGCTTTACTCTAGTGATTTCCTAATTCTACACTTCTAGAGAACGAAATTCATTTTTCCAACTAATCTGATTAATCACAGTTAATTTATGATAATCTGATTAATCACAGTTAATTTATGATTTAACAAAGAGGTGATTGCTTTTTCACAAACGGCCACTTGGTTTGGATAAATTAAATCATCATTTTGTATTTACTCTGGTTATCTTGGTCTCATTTAGACAATTTTGCTGATCTGGAACATTCAGGTGTGCGAAACAGAAGGCATGTGTAACGTGGAAAATGATTTTTCACAGTGCTGCCCTGTTGTCATCTCTGGTATATTAGCCAGGTTTTCTGTAACATTATAAAAAGAAAGTTTGGGCCGTGCTGAGGCGCGTGGTTGTTAAAATGACGCAATTTTGCTGCGCGGAGCCGTCCGAACCTCGCGGACGCGTCAAGCATAAACCAAGCTTTAGATTAATGTGGAAAACTTAGATTTAAAGGTTTTACCTGACAGATCTCATTAACTTTCCGAGCTGTCCGATCAATGATAAAAACATCTTCAGGTTAACTGTTGTTGAAACAACAGTGAACACACGCGGATGGTTAAATGCATCTAAGTTGTTCTGTTAAAATGATTGAGCCTGATCTTTTCTGCATTAGTTCCAAACCTTCCAATTTTTTTGTTAGGCCGTTTTTTTTAATAATACCTTCTGCAAATGAGCCGACGTCCCCTTTGCTCCACTCTCCTTTCTCTCCTGAGTAAAATATGCATCTTGGTGAATTTCACTGCCGCCAATTAGCGCTGTAGCAAATGTGAAGGTATGCCAGCGATTCTCTCACTGATTGAGGCAGATTCCAGTTGCTCTGACTTCTGCAATATTCATCAAGGTGGTGGTGGTGTTGGGGAGGGAAGGAGGGGTACACTGGGCTGGCACTCGGATGAGAGACTGCCCTCCGGGAAAGAAGAATAAGGCGAGAACAGGCCACTCCAGAATATCTACAAAGAGCAGTAATTAAAGGTGGTAAATATTCATGTTCTACTTGCATTTTTAATGAGGCGCTGATGAGAGTTGACGCTGACCGTACAGGACATTTGTCATGTTGGACCTGCAAGGACATTTGTCCAGTCTTCCCAAGAAATTAGTATTTTTCAGGACTTAATCATCGCTGACATTGACATATGTCCTCGACTGAAGAGGCAGAGATTGTTTGAACTTCCTCATAAGAGTCAACGCTGTGCATTTCGTCATAATGAAGGCAGTCCACCTTCCACATGCAGAACTAAACGTGTTCTGTCAGAGCGTTTTAGCTCTGCTTCAGAACTCGACTGGGATGCTGGTGAGAGTCATCGTGCCTTTTTTCAGTTCGTTGTTTAGAGCATGAATCAGTTAAAGTCAGTTATTTACAGCGTCGAATCACAACGAGTCGTCTCAAACATTCCAATACAGGTCAGTTCATTAAGCCAATCTGTACAAAGTTTCCTATATAAGGAACCCAGCAGATTGCATCGTGTCACTGACTGGTGTCAGAGTCTTTTCAGCAATCCTCATACTAAGCAAGCATTTAGCGACAGTGGAGAGGAAAACTCCCTTTTCAAATAAAATCAAATCAAAGCTTTATTTATAAAGCGCCTTCCACAGCCCTGTCAGGAAGCCCAAGGCGCTGTTCCTTTTAACAGGAAGAAACCTCCGGAGGATCCTGGCTCAGTATAAGCAGCATTCCGCCACGGCGACACACTCCAAATGCATGCACACACAACATATATACCAAGTAGTGCTTCTGCGGCTACATTGTGATTTCTTAGTAGATATTCTGTTTATTTAGGGATAAACGTTAGTCTTTATCAGAGTGAATGTTTACAGTAATCCCTCACTACTTCGCGGTTCGTTCATCGCGGATTCGCTGCTTCGCGGATTTTTTCTTTGGAGCATTTTTCAGGGGGAATTCGCAGATTCGCGGTATTTTTCACTGATTCGCGGTATTTTTCGATGCGAAATATCAAGAAATTCTTGTTTTTTTCATCAATTTCATCATAAAATTACCTTTTTGTAATAAAACTAAAAAAACCAAGTAAAAATTTTTTTTTTCTTGAGTTTTACCCACAAAAACAGAATGTGATCATATGATAATTCAATATAGTACTGTATGTCAGACAGGTCAGCTGGATTCAGGAGTTGAGCTTGTAGGGAGCCTGGTTTCACAGACGCAGAAGTGATAGCGTCTGTGAAACGCCGGCTGATCTAGGGAAACCCCCGAGCATTCGAGCGTCAGCGAAGTGACACGGAAATGCCGGGCTTTCCAGAAGTAAGTAAGATAACTTACTATGAGCTGATAGTTCGTTGGATTGATCGGTAGGTTGGAAACTCTGATCATGAATCTGAAGAAACGATGACTGAGTGGTGAGCTGGAAAGGCGACTTCCGTTTATAGCCGCGGTTTGTGACGTAGGTGCAACGTGGAGGGAATCCCCGCGAGGGGCATGCTGGGAGTCCCTACTTCGCGGATTTTCACCTATCGCGGCCAGGTCTGGAACGCATCTACCGCAATAAACGAGGGATTACTGTAATGGATTCAACAGGGACGGCGTTAGGCCCGGCTACTTGGGCTGAAGCCCCGGATGTTTCATGAAAAGCCCCGGATCTAAATTGCAGAAGTAACATGCAGTACCAAAGTCCAACAGAGAGGGAGCTGCTGGCAGTAGTTTGTATACAGCCTGCCTGAGCATCTACCACTGAAGAAGCCCTTCAGCAG